AAATGTGTGATTATACCAACTATCATGTCACGTATTCTATTAATTGTTAACAAAATTTAACCCGTGATGACCCTATCTTAATTAAATAAAAATGAAAGTGACCATATCTTATGGTTTTTGAAATCAATGACTAAAAATTGACAAAAACACAAATATAAATAACCATCCGTGTAATTAACTCTAAATAAAATGATAATGAAACGTTTTTAACACAAGACAATAAAAAAGAGTGCACGTAATTTAGCCAACAAGCCAAAACAAATATTTTACTTAAGTTTACACATAATCATGAAAATGTATTTTTATAATAAAAATGATATGAATTTTTTATATTTTAAAATTAGATTTATTTTTTATTTTCTACATTTATTTTTATAATTTTATAAATAATTACTAAATTGATTTTTTATTTAGTTAATAATTTTTAATATTTTAATAGAAGCCGCTAGTATTATTAAGAAGTGAAAATATTTGAAATTACAATAAGAGTTTACAATTATCATCGTAAACTAAATACATAATTTGGACTTTTTCTATAACATTGAAACTAGCCACTTTAGATCATATAAGGATACATGGAAAAGGTTAAAAACCCAACCAAAAGACTCGAACAAAAATAGATACGAGAAAATGTAACTATTTTTTTAGTGTCATTGCTTAATAAAAATGTAACTGTTTTTAACAAAATTATCAATTAAAATAAACTAAACTCATGATCACTCAACTATTTCTAACAAAAATTCAATGATTTTTAACTTAATTAATTATTGACTTTGAACAGTTTATTTTTTATAATAATTCAAAATTATTAAATAAATTAAAAATATTTGGTTTAATATTTTTTAATAGAAGTATTTAATTTTAAAAAAATAGAAAATATCTAAATTACAATGAATGTTTATAATCACAATCGTAAACTAAAAACATAGTAAATATATTTTCATAAACACGAGAAAACTTTCCACTTAAGATCACAAGGACCATACAAGGAAAAAGGTTAAAAAACCTAACCAAATAAACTCGGATAAAAGGTAGATACAAACATATCTAACTACATCGACAAATTAAACACAAAAGGGGATGAAGCTATTGAAATACTATCGACAAATCGCAAATCAGAATTGAGCGACGTGAAAATACTATCCACGAACGCAAATCGCGTATCCAAATCTAATATGAGGGTCCAAAGTTGAGAAGATCAACATATAACAAATAAATCGTAATCTTGATCAGTTGTGGTGATGTCAACTCTAACCCTGAAAAAGATAAACAAAAACAACGACCAAATGATCGAAAAAAGTATCATAAAAATATAGAAAAACGTATCATAAAAGCATAAGAAGATGTGCTATAAAGACATGATTATTAAAAAAATAAAAATATGTTATAATAAGACGAAGAAAAAATAATAAATATCGGTGGTCGACGATCAGTACCGAGGTTGATACTGTACGCAGTAACAAAGATATAGAAAAAAGAGATCGACGGTAACTAAGAAAATATTTGATTTAATAATTATATATATTAAATTATATAAATAAAAAAATAAATATAGTTTAGAGTTAGTAATAATCCCATTTTTATTGTAAAAAAAATTCAATTTTTTATTTATATACATATAACGTGTAAATTTATAATCAGATGTTTTCTTTAGTTTGGTAGATAATGTTTGCGCACTCTACCTCAATGTCTTAGGTTCGAGACTAGGGTCGTAAATGAGACGAGACAGATCGCGAGCTACTCGAGATCGACTCGATCAAGGCTCGATAAATACTCGGATCGAATAGACTCGACTCGAGCTTGAGCTCGACTCGAGTTCTTAACGAGCCGAAACGAGCTACTCGAGATCGACTCGATCAAGGCTCGATAAAAACTCGGATCGAATAGACTCGACTCGAGCTCGACTCGAGTTCTTAATGAGCCGAAACGAGCTACTCGATATTCAACTCGAAAAGCTCGTGAGCATTTCGAAAAGATGTTATATTATAATTTTAGATTTTTTAAAATTACATTATAAAAAATTTATTAAAAATACATTATTGATAATTATAAAATTTCAAAAATATATTAAAAATTCTATAATACAACTACCCTCAATTTTTAATTTTTTTAATTAAGCAACTCAAGTACAATTGTTACATTGTATATTACTAAAAGAAAAATAAAAGCACATCTAATTAAGCACATGTTAGATTAAATCCTAAACCCTAAATTTTAAATCCAAACCCTAGACCATAAACCATAAGACCTAAGCCCTAAATCCTTAATCCGGTTATACAATAGGGTACTAAAAGAAAAATAAAAGCTCATTTAATTAAGCACATGTTAGATTACAACCTAAACTCTAAATTCTAAATTCTAAACCCTAAACTATAAACTATAAACCATAAACCCTAAATCCCAAACCCTAAACTATAAACCTTAAACCCAAAGACCTAAGCTCTAAACCCTTAATCCGATTATGTGATAGGGGTTAAGTTATGCATATGAAGGTAATATACAAATTATGCAAAATGAAATTAATGAAATTAACAAGGGTTTATATGCAAATAAACTAATAAATCACACTTGGTCAAATCAATCAAAAGGTCCATTATCAAAACAAACGGTGATCAAAACATAAAATAAAAATCAATTAACAACCCAAATCATAGAAACGTAAATCTTGATTAATGACGAAATCATAAAATTACAAATATAGCAGGTCCTAAAATGCTAATACTCCATTTCTAAAACACGGGCTACCCCTAGTCGGCCAAGGACTTTCTACAGGCAAGCCCTCATTGCACTCTTCAACCATCTGGAGGTCAGAATTCTCTTTCAATGTCCTATTAGAAGGCTCCCCCACAGTAGGTGTAATATTTCCAGCAACCCGTCCATCTTCCCTAGATTGCATGTTTGAAACTGAATGCTTCTGCACATTTGAGGTAACACTTGCAACTGCATTTTCAGTCAAGTTCTCACCATCAAAGTGAATTTCTTGGCTCAAATCAACATTGTCCTTGCTAAACTGTCAACATTTTCATCAACATTATCAATTTTCAAATGTGTGGTATCTTGGCTCCCTAAAAAAACACTACTTGCACAGAGGAAATTGAGTTTAATCTGAAAAACAGTGGAGTCGAAAGAATAAATAGCCATGGGGCGTAAGCCAGGACATTATTCATCGATTCGTATTGTTACCCCCCCAAGCTCGTCGTTAAGACCAGACAAACTAACATTTATGAAATTCCCTTCTTGATAGTTTGGCTGAGAATACTTTCGTCCTGTCTGACAGATTTTAATAGCATTTCAACAGATTCAGAAGAGGTTGCCTGAGACCAGACATTGTTGCACCTAGAAATTGAACAAGGTTCAGTTGCACTCGAACTAAATGCAATCCCAGTACTACCCCGTGAAAAATCTTCAATCCACTGGTTATCTTCGCTACTTTCAATGCCAAGAAAAACAACAGTGATAAAGCATGTTGTGTTTCAGCAGACAGTTGAAGTGGAACAAAACCAGAAGCCAAAGAAGGTTATCACCTTCAATTCTTGTATAATAATATAGGGGTTTTTTGATTAATTTTGAGTGGATAATAAGAGGGTTTTTTATGATTTGATGTGGGTACTTTTTTTGCAGAAATTTAGAAGTGTTTCATATTTTGCAGGGGATGAGAAGAAAGACGAGAGGGTTCTTGTGCCTGATTTGGGTTTTTGCAGAAATTTGGAAGTGTTCCTTTTGTGTTTCATATCCCACATAGTTGAGATACTATAAGATGACAGGATAAGCTACATATAAAACAAGTGGGCTTGTGCAGTTCAAAACATACTTTTATCGGCCTTTTGGCTAAGATTCGAGCTTGATTTGAGCTTGAATCGAGCTTGAATCGAGCTTCAAATCGAACTTGAATCAAGATTAAAATCGAGCTTGAATCGAGTTCGAGTCTCGAACTTCAATTGAGCTCTTGAAATTTTTTTAAGTTCGAGTCGAGTTTTAATATTATATTTCGAGTTCGAGTAGAGCTTGATAATTTTTAGCTCGCGAGTTTTCGAGTTGAACTTACTATAAATGGTTTCGAGTTCGAGTCGAGCTCAACAATACTCGAGCTCGACTCGGCTCGTTTACACCCCTATTCGAGACAACTCTTTATATACAAAATGTTTCAAAACATTATCAAATACGGTGCTTGTCCCGGTAGTTTTAGGCACTGCATCCTGGGGTTGAATTCTCCTAGTTGCATCTTCTTCTTTAGCATTTTATTTTATTCTTTAATTTATTATTTACCCGTTCAAGTTATAACACGTGTAATCACGTGTTACTATCTAATAAAGAGATAAATTTATTAAATTAAATTAAAATTATTATCAAATATATAATTATTTCAAGTTTTTTAACTATCACGTCACATTCTCAGTTAGTAGTTATTAGTTAATATCTTGATTGAAATATTTAAATAGTAATATGATTGAAAAAAATCAAAATATCAATGGTTAAAATAAAATGAGACAATAATTGAGTGATCACCCATGAAATTTATCAAAAAATAACATGTAGACCGTTGATACAAAGAGAAAAATGATGTGAAAAATAAAAAAAAAAGTCAATTTCTACAATATAGTTTGATGTTCAATAATTTGTTTAGGAAGAAAGTGAATTCCAATTCTAATCAAGCGGTGCGGAGGAGACGTATCTCAAATTCCAACAACTGGAGAGTGAAGAGAAAATGGCGTAAGTTTTGGATCTTGTTGGAGAAAATATATGACAGCAACGGCATGAACAAAACAATATGATCCTCTTAATTCAGGGCAATTTTTCCCACCAATTCTTAAGTTTTGCAAATAGCTAATCGTTTTGAAGGACGCTATTGCACGTCACGATTTTCACGCTTAATTTATCAGCTCTATTGAATTCGCCCTCAAAAAAAAAAAAAAAAACGCGATGTTCAAATTATATTCTTCTTTTCTCTTGGTTTTCAAATTTTGTTTTTGAATTTGTTACCGTCATCATCTGGATTCAATATGGAGCAAACTTGAACGAGTCTGGGTTGATTTCCAATCACATCAATACAATGCATCTTTCCAAGTGGTCGAAATACTTCAGCTTCACGTCGTCTCGCGATTGGTTCTACCGCCTCATGTTCGGCAACGCCGGCCTCCGTTCAGTCAAGACCGATCTCGGCGAAGGCACCGTCATGCACTGTTGGGTACCCAAAACCCACCACGCCTCAAGGCCCAACATCCTTCTGGTTCACGGATTCGGTGCCAACGCGATGTGGCAATACGGCGACCATCTCCGCCATTTCACATCTCGATTCAACGTCTACGTGCCGGACCTTATCTTCTTCGGGGAATCGTACACGACCAGGAGGGAGCGCACGGAGTCGTTCCAGGCTCAATCGGTGATGAAAATGATGGAGGCGCATGGGGTACGCAGAATGAGCTTGATCGGGATAAGTTACGGTGGGTTCGTGGGGTACAGCATGGCGGCCCAGTTCCCGGATAATATGGAGAAGTTGGTGCTGTGCTGCGCCGGGGTTTGCTTGGAAGAGAAGGATTTGGAAGACGGGTTCTTTAATGTAAAGGATTTGGACGAGGCTTTGAGTATATTGTTGCCGCAGACGCCTGAGAAATTGAGGGAATTGATCAAGTTTTCATTCGTCAGACCCATAGACAAGTGGGTGCCAAGCCTTTTCCTGTCGGATTTCATTGATGTAAGCTTCACTTTCCCATTCTGTTTCTCTCTCTATATATCTCAAGTTGAGTATACATATATGTTTGGGGCAGGTAATGTGTACTGAACATCTAGAAAAGAAAAGAGAGCTGCTGGTGACAATACTAAAAGATAGAAAAGTGAGCAACATTCCTAAGATCACACAGGTTTAAGCTCTTCTTCTTCAACATCTGGTGGGTTTAGTTTATTAGTATGATATATATTGTTAAATTGATGAGTTTTGTTTTTATTCTACAAGAGCGTATTAATAATCTGGGGTGAAGAAGATAAGATATTCCCATTGGAGCTTGGCCACAGATTGAAAAGGTAATTATTAATGGAGTTTGGAAATGTTAATTATTGATTGTGAAGTAAGAATGTGGTGGTGGTGGTGGTGTAGGCATGTGGGGGATAATGCAAAGATTGTAGTGATAAAGAACGCAGGGCATGCGGTTAACATTGAGAAGCCGAAGGACTTCATCAAGCACTTGAAAGCTTTCATCTTTGATTCACCTAACCATCCTTCCCTTCTGCCCCTTTTTGATTCTTTCTGGTCTTAACATCTCTTCTCATACATTACATATTATTCTTAGGGTAAACTATATGTATAGTACTCAATTTTCAGTTTTATTTAGTTTTTGTCACCCAATTATTTTTTATTTTAAAATCATACCCAATGTTTCGTTTTGGTTTCATTTTGGTCACTTGTCCTTAAAAAAATTAACAGTGATGTTAATGTGTCATCATAAGCTAATGTCACTTCGTCATTGATTTTTTTTAAATGTCACATTAGTAGTATTGCGATTTTTTAAATGGCAGATGACAAAAATGAAATCAAAATATAACCTTAGCTATGTTTTTGAAATAAAAAATAGTTAGGTGATCAAAACGGAACAAAAGTGATAGTTGGATACTAAAATTATTATTATTATCATTATTATTATTATTATATCTTATTTAGCCTTTTATTTTATTTAACATAAATATTTTTTTTCATTTCTAGTAAGGATAAGATAATAAAATGTTTCATCTTCTTTAATATTTTAGATTATTATTATTATTGCTAAACAAGTATTTTCCACCATCTTTATTACAATATATCTTCTCATCTTCTAGTCATAACGTTTTTTAAATAAAATATGTTAAATAGAAAATTATATCATTGTTTTAAATAAAAAAATTAATTATTAAGGCAATACTTCATTTTCGTAATCATTTTATACAGGTTACTGAAAGACTAGAACGAATAAGAAAAAAAAGAAGGTGAATTCCAGATTCGTTCTCTCGAAATTTACGAGTAATGTCTTACAAAATAGACGGTTTAGATATAATATATTAAAACTATATTATTATATTCAAATTAAATAAAATTAGTTTTATCATATTAATTTAAATCATTTATATATCTATTTTAAAAATATTTTTACATTAAATTTAATCTAACAACTAAATTAATAAAAATTAAAATAAAATAATATTAATGATTTAAAGATTTAGGGTAAACTACATAAATGGACACTTTCGTTTGAATTATATAAAATTTTTCCTCACTGAATTTTAAAAACATAAGATTTGATCACTATCGTTTCGTTTTAATTAAGATGTAATCACTGAAAGTTAACATCCACTAAACCTTTAAGGTTTGTTGACATAGTACGATAAATATATAAAATTAAAATTATATCTTTTTCAAGTAGATAATACATAGATTAAGTTTTGGTCACTTTCCTTTCATATTTGTACACTTTTGCACACAAAATTCAAAAAACATAAGTTTTGGTCACTTACGTAATTCTTTTATTAAGTTATGGTAGGACATTGAAAGCCATTAGTTTGATGACTGGTACATTAGCAAGATGATATTTAATCCCTACACTTTAGACAAAATATTGACTATGTGTATTTTTGTAAATTCAATTAGTTTAGGGGCAACATTTCGATTTAGCTATTTTTAATAGGTTTTCTTACCAACCCCATTGTTTTTCATCTTCTTCCTGCTTCTTCTTCAGACATCTCTACTCGAATGTTCTATTGCTACATTTGCCTTCTTTCAAGGACTCATGTTGCGTTTCAAGAATAATGAAAGATTTTTAACTTTCGATAACAAATAATAACGCCACAAGTTCAGATAAAAATGAGAGGGTAAGCATCTAGAAAAAAATGAAGTTGTAATACCACAAAATTATGGACTATTGATCAAAATATAAATTTTGAAAGTTTAATAGTCAAAGTGTAAACTTGGGAGAGTTTAGGGACCAGAGTGGTAATTTTACAAAGAATTAATTGTATTTCATAAATGAATAGTTCACCCCCAATAATGATATTTTTGTGGGAATCATATTTTTTGTTCAGAATTTGTATAAAGTGCTATAAAGCATAAAAGTCTGATAAAAATTCGGATAATTAGATCGAATCGAAAATTTCATAAATTTTGAAGAATGACATTAAAAAGTTAATAATTTCATTTCCATAATTTTAATTGGTGAAATTTAGCATGAATTGTTGGATTTAAATTGATTTTTGTTGGGATTTGTTGAAGCTCGATTTGTACAACCGAAGAAGTTTGTCAAGAGGGGGTGAATTGGCTTTTGGAAATTTTAGGGAGTTAGGAGTAAAAAGAGATAGAAAGAATATTGAACATCGATTTATAGTGGTTCGACTTCTCAACTAAGTCTACCTTCATTACCTTAGCTCATCAATAAGGATTTTCTAACAAATTCACTAATTTGTTCTTTCTTTTTACAGGATCAAGAGATAACATATACACTCCCTAGCTTTTAACAGGCTTAGCTAGAAGCTAGAACCAATCTCCTTTTCACAAACAAAAGAAATGTAAACAAGAAAACCTCTCTAAGGTATGGTGTTTACAAGAATTTTAAGCTCACATAACAAATAAAAAGATTTGCAATAGAGCTTAAAATACAAATATTTACAATAGAAAGGAAAATATGAAAAGCTATTCTCTTGTGTTTGATTGCTTGGATAGGTGTTCTAACCCTTATTCAACTGTCTTGAACTTGTATTTATATGTTGGAATGAAGTTGTGGATGTTTCTAGCCGTTGGGAGTCTTTTACAGCCGTTAGGGATGTGTTTTTCTGTAAAATAAAATTGCCCAGTACAGAGGGTATCGGTACTCCTATATGGAGCATCGGTACTACCTTTGTTATTTTTAAATAAAACTAGCCGTTGAGCCTGACAGTATCGATACTACTATGTAAAGTAGTATCGGTACCCCTATGGGTATCGGTACCATTTTTGCATTTTGGAATTTGAGCAATGCTGGTAGTATCGATACTACCTAGTGAGTATCGATACTTCTTAGTGAGTATCGATACTTCCTTTACCTTTGGTTTCGGTACCATATGAACAATATTGGTACTATTCATGAGGTATCGATACTATAAGAACAATATCGATATTTCTTGTCCAGAAAAACATTTTGTGCTCAAAATGGACATTGAATTATTTTTGAAAACTTTGAATAAATTCAATTCAAGTCCAAAAACATTTTGCGATAAAATTGTTATATCAAAACATAGTTCAACAATCTCCACCTTTTTGATATAACAAAACATTTAAAAATATTGTTTTTGGCAAAAGCCCCCTTAATAAAATATATATTGAAAAAGATGTCAATTGTTGGAAAATGTATCTCCCCCTTTTTCATTGAGAAATTGATTTTTTTTTAAACTCATACTTCTCCCCCTTTTTGCTATATAAAAAATAATTCAACTTTAAAGTTCAAAAATAAAATTGGAGAGTAAGTGGTAATTTTGACATAAAAATCATTTGAAAAATCAAAGGCTCTCCCTCAAAAAGTGTATTCCAAACAAATATTTTGACTTAAAAAACTTGACACTTAAACAAAATTGAATTTCAACATAGATGAACAAACATGTTAGTAGCATATGAAATTGAATATATCCAAGTCTAATATTCTTTATGAAATACCAAATGTTGAAATTAAGTGCATATGCATAAAGCTTTCCAAAAATGTTATGCATTTGAAAAATAGATATCAATTTTTAGAGAGATATCATTTACAATAAATCACTTGCATAAACATTTAAAATTAAGGTTAAAAATTTAAAATTGGTAAAATCAAAGCATTTGAAAAGTTTATATCAATTGTTTAAGAGATATCATTTGCATTGAAAATCAATTTTGACCAAAATTCATTATGATGAACTAAACAAATATGAAAAAACATTAAAACATTAAATTGTTCATCATAAAGAACTTTTCAACATACATGAGATTAAAAAAAATACATAATCATTTAAAATCAAAACTCATGCATGCATAAACTAAATGAGCAACCAAATAATATAAAACAAAAGCATTAAGCTTAGAGGTTACTCATTCTATTTTCAATTGTGGCTAGAGCATTTAAACATCTTCATTTTCTTCACCATTGCTCCCACACACCTACAAGAGACATTTAAGTGGATCTTGGAATCCAAATTGCTTTGGATCCTTGGACGTTAGTTTCAATTCCCCTTGTTCCCTTAAGAACCCATACTTGTCTAATTTTAAAATGCTTTTCCTTTATTTGAAAGACAAGTATGTTCATTGTGACCATGATAACGACAATGTGAGCATTTTGTCATTATGGAACTAGATGAATTATTTAAAATGATTTCTTTTTCTTTTGTTAACCATTCAAGCTTAACTTTTAAATCATAATTTTCGTTTTCAAAATTTCAATTATCTTTTTTGAAAGCTCTAAATTCTTTTTCACAAATTTCATTTTGGTTTTAAAATCCATTTTATCTTTCAAAAGAAAATCAATTTCAACTTTAAACTTTGAAATGATTTGCTTGTATTTGCAGTTCATGGTCTCAAACTCCAAAAAATAATTCATCGTATGCATCTTGTAACTCATTAAAAGAACAAGAAGTTGATTCAATTGAGTTAGAAGATACATTGGGCTCTTCATGAGCCATTAAAGACACCAGCTTTGTTGGTTCTTCTTTCTTGTCTCCATGGATTTCCTCGAGCTTATTCCAAAGTTTCTTGGCATTCAACCAAGAAGAAACTCCTTCTTAGATATCAGGATCAAATGAACAAAACACCATGTGTATGGCCTTGCATTTTGTTGAGCTTTTTTCCATTCTTGGTCACTCTACTTCTTCATCTTTTTCGTTGGAGAAGAGTATCCGTTCTCGATCATCTCCCATGCATCAAGATCATTGGATTGGATGAATAACTTCATTACTTTCTTCCAATGATGGTAGTTTTCTCCATTGAAATGTGGAGGTCTGTTGATCGGTTGAGAGTCTTCTATGTAGAACAAGACGGAGGTGGAAGTCATCTTTTCAGTTGCTTCAAAAATGGATAGAGCTTCTTCTAGGATCATCTCAAGGTTGTTAAACCTTTTAATGAGTTAAGCTCTGATACCAATTATTGGGATTTGTTGAAGCTCGATTTGGACAACCGAAGAAGTTTGCCAAGAGAAAATGAATTGGCTTTTTGAAAATTTTAGGGAGTAAGAAGTAAAAAGAGATAGAAATATTATTGCACAACGATTTATAATGGTTCAACTTCTCAACTAAGTCT